GGCCTTTATATAGCAGTCGGCTGCTCGCAGACGAAGCGTAGAAGCATCGAATTGTTCGCTATGGAAGGTTCTTGTTTTATCGTTTCTAGAACGTACTAGTTATCGGCTTCTCTCTTTCATCTGACATTTGCCTCGCATTTTCGCAACAGTATTTATTTAACTTAAACTTATGGCAACTACCTTAATAACAAAAACCTGATCCTCTGTTAAGAAAAAGTTGCAATTTGTTTAAGTAAATTTAATTCCATAGTTCAATTTCAAAGCCAAAATAATTATCTTCCCAGCGGAGATAGCTTAAACATTAACACTTACTCCATAGCACATTAATAAATGTATGGCAACGCGTGCCGGTCCTATTTCACACTATTTGATGCAGGAGAAACGAAACTGATGAGAAACAAGTCGACAAAATTCGATTAGTCGCTCGAAGAAAGTCGGAAGAAGAAAGTGTTTTCAAGTGTAGCTGCAACAAAATTTGAAATTTTTCAGTGCATTTCCTCCTTTATAATTATTGCACTATTTGAATCCACAAATAAAAAAAGAATTCATCGTAGAACTGCAACACGCAGGCAAAAACGTATAAAACAAAAGTACATTTCAAGTGCAGTGCGTTAAATTTGTTAGGCGATTTCTTCGTGAAAACCAATTGCTAATATTTGTCAATTGTGAAGTGCTTGTGCTGAATTTGGAAGAAGTAAAAAAGTTAGTTGAATAAAAAGCTAAAAATCTTTAATAATATCAGTTTGTTTGTTGAAAATTTGTACGCAAAGTCTGGAAATAATTGCTTTCATAGTGTTTTTACCGACTGCAGCAAAAGAGAAATACATAAAACAGCGGTAGACTGGGCATTCAAAGGATAGAACAAAAGCGGTGAATATCCTTATAATTTCCTTTGTGTAGTAAGTGTATTTATTTCTACATTTACATATGCAGTTAGGTAGGATACAAACTTATCTACTTAGGAGATTAGGCTCTAAGCTACAGCTTCCACATATAAATATATATGCCGCCTAATACCGGCTTTAGATTTTGGCGTTGCTTTGTTTGCGTCTGCACGGAAAAGGGTGTGTGCTCTTGCCAATGGAAACTCCATCGGTGGCGACGTCAGCGGCGGCGGAAGCTAAATTACCAACAACTGTATAGCATTCGACGTTTGCGCGAACTCCAAACCAACAACAATAGCTAAGGTTTTTTGTTTGCAAAATCAGGAAAAAAACCAACAAGATAAGAGAAAAGCCTGAAGAGAGAGCGTAAAAAACATTGAAATCCGAGCGGGTGAATGAGCATTGAGAGAATGGAATTTTGTGTGTATTGCAAATGCGATTACTCATTTTTTTTTATTTGCCTCAGTGATTAATTTACTATTATTATTATTATTTTATTTTTTTTTTGTTTTTTTTTTGTTTTTCATAGAAAGTATTTCAATACCAAAATTATAAATTTATCACAGCAAAGGCTAAAACATTACATGCAATCGACAACAACATTAGCGTCGGTTATGATATTGTTGGACAACTGAAAAAGCGATAAGCGAAAAATGTTTGTTTGTCACGTCGCCATCGTCGTCAGCTCTGGGGAACAACAATAATGCGACAGCTATCGGGGGGAAATTACTACATAAATAGCAATAGCAGTAGTAGCTATATACTGCCCACCCCTTGGCTGCTTGTGCTGCAGTATCCAATGTTTTTGTGCATCTGCTGCGGTCAGTGCTGACGTTTATTATATGCGGGCGTTGGGTGGTGGCTAAAAAGAAATAAAATTACAAGTTTTAAGAGAGATAAGCGTCGGTTAGCCGTCGCTGCTATAAGAACTGTTGAAAACCGATAAAAGCGATAATTTGAGAATTCAGTTGTATATTTTGGTAAAAGAATTTTTAAAATACATATGTATATATAAAGTCCACTTATATACATACTTACGTATATGAACTTATGCTTCCGTATTCGTCAGTGATATGAATCATCTTTCTATTGGCAAATTTTTTGTTCAGTCATAACTTGATAACATAATTATCACTTTGTGGCAGTGAAAATTACTACAATACATTATATACTACATTTGTATGTATGTACTGTATGTAAGTAAGTATGTATATGCGAGGAGGTATTAAATGCCATATTGCGGTCTATATGAGTTCATAATAGTTATCAGTTAACCATTTTAAAATTTAAATTTTCCAGTCCATTTAAGGTAAATTCACTTAATGAACAATGGGCAAATCTGCATATTGTTAGTTCATACTGTTGTGTTATTTATACACACATACATATACAATATATTTATATATATTTTTTTTGTCGCCTACTTTGCTATAAATATGTATAGAAAAGTATATATGTATATGCGACATTCGATTCATTGACCAAGCTTATCCATTTGCCCTTGAGCAACAGCTTTTTTCAACGCTGCACTTATTCAGCGTTCAATCAACCCTCTGCTGGTGCTTGCACACATTTTTACAAGCAGATATCTTCATTGGTAAGCTTAATAGCCTCTGTGACCGGCTAGTTGCTTTCCTTGTGTTCGAAAGAAAATAAAATTGAAAATAAAATCGAAGAAACACGGTCTAGGTCGGCATTACAAGACAGGCTTTTTATGCCCACTATATTCTTTGCGGCTTGCATTGTCACAATTGTATTCATTGCAACTTTTCGTCGTTATCTTCTTTGCATTGTCATTTCGAGCACTTTCTATTGTTCCGAAACAGTATTGCTTCTCTATTCATAACACTGTATTGTGAGAAATGAAAACACAAGTAAAAAATGCAATAAAACTCAAAGAGTGTCTAAAAAAAGTTTTAAATAAAATGAAATGAAAAATGAAGAAAATCGAAAAGAAAACAATAAAATACCAAACTTTGGCCTTTTTGTACTCCTGGGTGACACTAACAGAATTGTCATATAATAAACAGAAACTGTGGAACACTTGGTTACCTGTTGACCTAACGGGGGTAAACGCCGCTAGGAAGGACAGCGTACCAACAGGCCTTAAACGCCATCCACCGATAGTTTCTTAACACCTTCTTGAACTCTCTTCCAGTGAACAGCGTTCCCGAAGTCCAATCACCACCCGTTGCAGACGAAGAGCCCGAATATTGGCACAATTAAGATCTGGATATTATAGTTGACTAAACTCCTACTTATCCATACTGAAACCCGACATACCCAACGCATGTCCTGCGTTCAACCATCAAACATTAACCACATCTTTGCATGCCCCTTAAAACTTACTCATCTAACCCCTCTTTCCCGTTAGACCGTACACGTCGAAACAGCTCGTTTACTGGACCTGCCGTTGGATAACCTCGATGATTTGTAGTGATATTGCCAGCTTCTAAGCAGAATTGGATTAACCTGGGTCTACAACAACAACATGGAACACTTAGTTATAATAATATCCCATGGGGTAGTCGCACATCTATAAAGGCACGCAAATTTGATGTTGTGCTTTTGAAAGGCAAGAACTCTGTTGTCGAACTAACATTCAGCTAGTATTAGTGTTGCCGTTATCACATTGTTAAAGCTTCACCAGAATCCTGAAAGATGTTCCCTACAGTTCGATACTAAGCGTGCTTTCAAATCAGGTGACTCTTTAACCTTATGTTGTGACCGGTGGTGGGCGAGGACAAGAAGTATCTCCTGTTATTAAACAAAAAGTCAGCGCATTCGCGTTTGTGCACTTTACTCCTGACACCCATAACTGTGAAGTCGAAGACAATTTCGCCAATCTATGGGCGAAATTAGAAAAGGCTTTCCAGAAAAAGAATTTGTTAAGGATGTATGGACATTTGCATACCAGCGACGGCGTATAACGTAGATTATTGAACATTGAGCTGTATAGGGAATGTCATAAAAATCAGTCAGTTGTTCGTAAGCGACGTACATCCCTCCATTTGTTGGAATAACATTAAGACGCACACCACAAGCTGGAGGAGGAGCGCGCGCGGCATATAATCGCTTCAGTAGTTTTAATACGTCATTTATATTATATTATATATTATACTCGCCGCTGACAGCAAAGAAATAGAATCCACTCCGTTTCTAAAATCCCTCCAAATGGCGTTGAGCTCTTCTAAAAACAGAAACTACAAGGGCGCTGACTTGGCTAAAATCTCACAAATGGCCATCAAGCAGGAGAAAAGTTCTCCAGAGCAGAGAACTAATCCGTTTACTGCCATTAGAAGATCGTTGTTTTTGTATTTCTGTGTGCCACATTCCAATTTATTGCCTTGAGCCTTTGTATAAATGTATTGGGACAAAAATTGGCTTATAAAAATGTAGTTCTCATTTTATTTTGCAATTTGAACATTTTTGCGAAGTGGTTAAATACATACATACATACATATACGTGTATGTAGATATGCTAAAAATATATGACTGTTTCTATGTAAATATTTTTGTATTCTTACTTCACACGGTGTTGATTAGCGATATGTGTATGAATACTAAAGAGCAAACGCGGCGGTGCGGTGACAAATGTGGCGAGATGTGGACGCTTTAGGCAACTGGTTGCTAGAAATCAACTGACCTCATTTATGCTTGGGATCTCTATCAGTCACGCACGCTTGCTCGCTTTCCATTTTTATTTGGCGAAATCAGAATAAATGTTCATATCTACTACTTATATGATTTAATTTTTTAACGTAAACATCTGTACATATGTATGTATGTACGTATATACGAGTATATGCATCTTTTATTTAAACGTTATTGTAAAATTTGATCCAGCTTTTGGGAGTGGTTTATGCCAATAAGATTAGGTTCTTAATTCTTAAAATCAAATTATGTATTTAACCTCAGAAAAAAAAAAATTAAAATAGGTATGTATGTATTTAACCTGATGTGAAGACGGTTATTTGTAATCACAAAGCTTTTCACTCATAGGTCAGAGGTAATGTTGTGGGAGTAACAGATTATTGATATCACATATATATTCCGTAGGTACCCAGATAACTGTATGTATAAACCAGTACATCCACGAATCCATTATAAGCTCTCGGCAGTCTGTTATCCCTTACGCTTTAGTTTACCTTTTAGTGAAGCTCAGATTTTAGTCTCTCATGGTGATATCCTTTATAAAACAGTTGAATGAGCTAGTTCCTTCCAATATCCTTAGAAGCATAGCTGCTTTCGCAGAAGCACTTTGAGAAACGAAATAGAGACTGCCAAAAGTGCTATTTGTCTGGCGATGGAAAATGAAATAAGAAAAGCCTTAAAGATTGTGATTTCTGAGAAAAATTTAAGAAAAATGATAACTGCGAGAAGGACAGCTTTAATGAACTGCAAGATCCTCAAGATCACTTGTAAAGGCAGCTAGAGAAAACGCACCAACTTTTTGCAAGGACTAAAGAACAGTAGCAGGCCTAAAGACCTACCAAAATCGACTGTCATCACTTGATAACAAATTTTGAATTATTAGTGGGTAGGTATCGACATGGAGTTTAGAGAGGCCTACATGAATGAGACGCAGGAACACCCCCACTGTTTCTCTTCATTCTTAACTAGAACTTATCTTAGAAATTGCGAGCTTCGCTGTTCAGAAAACTAGATAAGGTTTCAAAATTGTATGTGAAATTGCTCTTTCAGTTCGTAAAACTCGTTGGGTCACTACAGATCCATGTAAGGCTTATCAGTCGGCCAGTGAAACCGGATCTGGTTGCCTTCCACAGAGTTTATTGAAAACATTTTAAACGTCCGACTGATAAATACTCAAAAGAAGTGTGTTTCCTAAAGCAACTTATTTAACCGACAATATAAATGAGTTAGAGAGAAGATGCTATCTTGATGTACAGTAGATTTTTGAAAAATTCTTCAGGGCCTTTAATGAATCTAAAATATCTTTTGGGTACTGTGGTTATATAAAACAGAGCTCATTATTATAGTTAGACTCAAGGTAG